CCTGGCGAGGTAGCTTTTACGCTTACGCAGGCGAATTCGAGCTCTTCTTTTGTTAAAGCTAGCCACTCCCATCTACTATCTCCTTTGTAGGTATTTAGTAGTGGGGCTGGAGTAGATGGTGGTGGGGGGAAGAGATCTTCTCTAAAGGCTTGGCATTTTTCTCTAAAGGTCTCCTTGCCTTTAATAGCAGGTATCCTTATAGATAGGTTGTCTTTTGTGTAGGCTATAGCTTTAAATATCTCTTTTAGCGTCTCCTTTTGTAGGAAGGTTTCCTAGTGGTTAAGCTTTGCTTTTTTAACAGCTTTTAGATATCTATATTTTGCAATAAGATACTCTTTTTTCTACTAGTTAATTTGGCTGTTGTCCTCTCTACTAGCTTCTCTTTTTAGGGCTCGAAAAGCTCTGTTTTGATCTAACTTTAGGTTATCTAGCTCACTAGTCCACCAAGGTTTTGGCTTTAGTTTCTAGCTAACTAGTAGGGTGGATTCTTTTAGAGCTATTTGTACTACTATTGTAATATCTTCTTCTAGTTTCTCTAGTTTCTCTACTAGGGAGTTATCCTGACCTAATAGGATCTTTCTTGATAAATAGCTAGAGGTGTGGGGTAGGTCTAGTAGTTGTGCCTCTAGCTGTTAGTTGTTGACTTCTTCATTAAGTGTACTATTAAAGATGTCCTAGTTAGTCTTTTTAATATTAAATCTCTTTAGCTGGCTAGGTAGCTGGCCTAGGCTTTCAATACTAAAAAGGATTGCGTGGTGGTCTGATCCAACTCCTGGTATAGTTTGCCAGTCCTAGATGTTGGCAGCTATATCATTAGTTGCAAAAGTAAGATCTAGTACGCTTTCTTGCTGTATATTTACTTGAAAAAAGGTGCTAGTCCCTAGAGTATTTAGAAGAGAAAGGTTTTGGTTGTCTACCCACTCTACTAGATCCTCTGCTTCTTGGTTTGGGTTTTTATCCTGTAGGCTCCATCTAGGGTGGTGGGTGTTAAAGTCCCCTAGTATAATTGAGGAGGGTTCTAAAGTCTCTTTAAGTAGGCGCCTTTGGATTGTTGTCTTGTTAAGCCCTTCTTTTAGGCTTTTTCGTTATAAATGTTATATATATAGATCCTAGTTAAAGAGGAGAGTATTGTAATAGCTTGTAAATCGTTGTCGTCGCTAATATATAGGTTGACCTCTGCATCTAGGTCTTTTCTAATATAGAAGAGCGTTCTTGGCCTTAACCCCTTATAAGTAGGGAGTATTTAAGTAAAGTCTTGGTGGGCGATTAATCTAGTATTCTCGTAGGTATGTCCCTTTAGTAGCCAGGGTTCCTGTATAGCGATAATCTTGGCGTTTACTTGAATAGCTAGATTTAGAGCGCTCTCTGTAGTAGGGCTACTTCTATTAACATTTATTTGTAGGACTTTTAACATTCTAGTTAGAAGAGGTAGTAGTCCTAGACGTCCTAGCTTATAGGATTTTACAGTTTTAGCTGTTAGCTGCGTGGGGCTTACTACAATTTACACACTTAAAGATAGTGTAAACGTAAGGATTGCCTCTACTTAAACAAGAATTACACTTGTAGAGGCTAGTGTGGTGGGCTTCGCTGTAGATTTGGCAGGCTACTTTAGAGCATTTAGCCTCTAGGTGCCTAAAACCTTGGCATTTAAAGCACTGTTTAGAGTTATTAATAACTCTTAGTTTCTCTGCTCTAAGGCTCTGCCCTAGAATATAGAGCTTTCCTCTAATAGCTCTTTGGGCTTCTTGTTCTGTAGCAAAAGCTACGCAGGCGGATCTAAAGTTTTAGTTTCCTCTTCTGGATTCTAGTATTAGCCAGAAGGGGTTGCCTACTACCTTTAGGCCTTTATTGAAGATTTTAATTTCCTCCTTTAGGACCTCTAGGCTATAGCTTGTTGGTAGTTTATGGATAACTACTTTGAACTAAAGGGTGATTGGTTGGGCTGCTTTAAACTCTGTGATATCCTTCTAGATCTCTTGGTTTTCTAGAAGGTATTTTGCTAAAAAAGCTAGGGTGGTAGTAACTATTTTATTGCTTTTTGCTAAAGGTGTTACTAAGGCTACTACTAGGGATTGTACTCCTTCCTTTGTTGTAAAGGCTTTGTTAAAGGCGTTTCTAATTTTTAGAGCGTCAAATGCAGTTGTCAGACTGTGAGGGGTTTCTAATCAAGGACTTGTTTTTAGGTCACTATGATAAAAGACTGTAATAAACTTAAGTATAGAAACTAAGTGTATTAAGTTATTCTATGTCCTCTAGCTGCGCGCACGCGCGCAGCCTTATAAGTGCTATTACCATTGCTTTTTCTGTCTTAGGTACGCGGCTGAGTATCAGCCTCGCCTAGGTATAATTCTTGGCACTCGGCTCTAATTGGCCCGAGTCACAGAATCCGGGTGCTCGATCACACCCGGATCCTATCAGTTATCTGACAGCAGTAGGTATATCGCTAACTAGAACAATTTAGCAATCTAATAGGCTAGTAGTCTTTTTTT